CCAAAAAATTTATGCTAGTTTAGATCAGATGTGCTAAAACATTCAGTACTGCATTCTGTAATATCCAAAATTATGGACATGAAAGTGAAAAGAAACAATGAAGTACGGGGTCATATGGGCCCACTATACCTTGTAAAAACCACGAAATCAATAAATATGATAAATAGTGTCCACTTTTGTCCAAATTTATGTAACTGAGAAGAAGCAGTGGGACAGGGGGAGTCTGTAACTTCTGCAAATCACCAGCATCTATTTTCAGAAATTAAAGCTTTCATCCTGCAGAACCCAATTAAAGAGAATCAGAGGTTTTTAGTTCCTAAAAAACCACTATAGCTGATGATGTCACTAGATTACACTACTGGATTTTAGCCACTGAAACAATATAAATAAACAAGCCATAACACAAATTTATTTTACAAAAGCATTAATGCACACACCATAACTCAACAGCAGCCTGGCATTCCCACTGACTGACACAGAAGAGGAAGTTTCATCACCATCTTCACCACATCCCAAATGCCTTCACTACTACTTCCAGCCAGCCTCTTGTCCTGCCCTTGCAGTAAGACTGAAGATAGGCATAGCACAAGACTAGCCACACAAAATGGCTAGTCCTTCACACCAGCACAAATGTCTCACTCTGAAGCATCCTCTCTTATAGGTAGGTCCTGTGGGTGCAGTACAGTGGGAGATCACCTGTGCCAGCAGCACTTGTGGTATCTGGTTCTAGATAGGAAACATCTCAGGGGAGTTGAAAGGGTTCTCTGGGAGGGCAAAAGCAGTGTAATTTGTTATCCCTCGCACACTTGAGCATTCTGCCATACTTTGCTTAATGAATGAGCTGGCTTCAACATTATGTATTGGAATTCTAACAATTCTCTGGGCATGAAATCATAAGTGTAACTCTATTTGTTCATTTAAATTTCTAACTTAGGTCAATTGATTAATGTATGTCCATGTTCCAATTAGTTACAGTTTTATATGTACTGTATTAAAACATGCATTTTTCTTAACTATATTTTTGGTAAGAATATGCGCATATAAAATAATTTATAACAACACTGGTAGTTTTGAAATGAGAAATGTTCAGTTTTATTTCTGTTTCTTAGGTGAACTGATGCAAATTTGTATTATGATCAGTTGAGATTTAGTGTTTGTTGCATTAAGGCATGTTCCATAAATTGTTGGAGAATGTTATCACAGGATATTTATTTATAATTAATGGATATGTGTAATATTTGAGGGTAAGAAGAGAATAGTAAACAACTTCTGAGTACACCCAGAAACATTGGAAAATGTCATTCAGTCAAAACTGACTTGAAAGCATGCAATTATTATTAATAGCTAGCTAAGCCTGCTGAGCTCACACTAAGCCAGCTGAATCAAACTCTTTGCAGCCTATACTAGAAATTTACTTAAGATACCCTTGTCATGGCCTAACGTATTCTGGAAGAGTGGCTATAGGTCTGGGTTCCACTTTCCCGTCCCCGCATTTTCTGGCTCTTATGATGGCTAATCTCAGCCAGCATAGCAGTTGTTCTGGTAGATCAAACTAGGCAGGCAGATATGAAATCAGCCAGCATAAATGGGTTCTGCCAGCACTACGGCAGTTCTGTCAACACAAAAAGCTTCTATCTATTCCAAACCCAGTACAACTGGTGCATCTTTGAGTCCACTGCCTATCTAGTTGAGAACTCCCAGAGAAAGACTTCTAGGCTCTAGAACCTAAAGTGTGAAGGAGGTGCCAGAAGTGGAATGTACCCATACTTGACGTTCCAGAGCCTAGAACACTTTCTCTCTCTCTGGAAGCATCTTTAAATTGTTTTAGGATGCATTTTAAAATTCCAGGGGGAAAACAGTATCACCTCACTGTTTGCAAACTGAACAATGCATCTTAAAATACAGTAGATCAAATCCCATTTTCCCACACCCCATCTCATTTCTATTATGCCTTGTTGCATGTGCAGTTCTTTTCTTCAGCTAACTGTATTCACTACCCCCTTCACAGACACAAGTCCACTTTTTAAATGGGGCAATCTGTGGCCTGCAATCAATAACTGTAAGCCTGAAATTAACAGAGCAACTGCTATGTTAAACGGATTCTGGCCACATTTTCATTGTCATTGTGTCAAGAATTACTATCTATTTATTTAAAATATCTGTTCCTCACCTTTCTTCTCAAGAAAGACACAGAGCAGCTTACAATATTGAAATAAACAATATTAAAACCTTTTTTTACAAACAGTCATTTTTAGTTCATAAAAATCTAAGCAATTATAAAGGTAACACAGCCAGACATACATGATCTACAATATTTTTGTCACATTTTTGCAGACATTCTGTACTTTATTTAGCTGTCTGGACAGCTCAGTGTTTTAGGTATCTAGCTGCAGAGCCAGAGGTTGGGGATTCAATTCCCCACTCTGCCTCTGAGAAGAGCAATCCTATGTAGCCTTGGGCAAGCTGCAGTCCCCAGGATGTCCCCAGAAGGCAATGGTAAACCACTTCTGAGTATTCTCTACCTGGAAAACCCTGAAAAGGGTTGCCATAAGTCACTTGTGACTTGTTGGCACAGGGGTGGGGGAAGTATTTATTTATGCCAGGTCTCAAGGCACCTTAAGGGCATTGTGGCATGTGCACAATAAAGACTAACAAGTTTCAATGGCACAAGTTTTACTTACTGATGCCTGCCTTACCAGATGCAGATATTTTAACAGGATACTTTTGTGAGCAAGCAACAGAGGAGAAAGAAGTAAAATGTACTTTGGACATGCAGTGTACATTTTGTAAAAAGCGAAGAAGCAAAAGTATACTTTATCAGTGCAGTTCAGTAAAAAACTACAGAATTAAGTAGACCCCCAGATATCACTTAATGTTGCTATTTGTTTGAAAAAACATCCTGATTTGACACTGGCTTTCCAGTACTTCCCTAAATGAACATCCTAAGCATAAGAAAGTGGTGGACTGTTCCTAAGATGACAATACAGTGGTGCCTCGCTTAATGGCGATAATCTGTTCCAGGAAAACTGCTGTTAAGCGAAAACATCGTAAAGCAAAAATAAAAAGCCCATTGAAACACATTGATAACCTTTCAATGCATTCCAATGGGCTTAAAACATCCAGCGAAGATCCTCCATACGGCAGCCATTTTCGGTGCCTGTATAGCAAGGAATCCGTCCCTAAACGCAGCGGGGAGCCATTTTAATTACCCGGTGGCCATTTTGAAACCGCCGATCAGCTGTTAAAAAAACGTTTTGCAAAGAATAGGTTCCTGAAGCAGGGAACCGATCATCGCAAAGTGAAAAAACCCTATTTAGACTATCGTTTTATGATCGCAAAAGCAATCGCAAAAAGGTCGTCGTGAAGCGGATTTGTCGTAATGCGGGGTACTCGTAAAGTGGGGCACGACTGTAATACTTATTTCTATGTGAATAATACTATTTCTGTGGGATGATCATGTTATTTGTAGCAGCAGAAATTAAGACAATTCAAGTTTTCTTCCTTTCAAGAAACATTCTCCAGTCCATGAAACTTTTTGTCAAATACGACTTGGTAGTTTTAAGGTTCTACAACACTTGAAATAAAACAAGTATTCTCGGAATATGTGTTGCTTTTCTTCTGTTTTCTTTTTAAAAACAGTAATGTAAGAGAGAACATGTTTAATTCCTCACTTTCTCATTTTAGGACATAATAAATATTGCCTCATTCCTAAAGTTTATCTGTACTTTGAAAATAATTTCTGTGCATCATCAGATAAATGTCAATTTAGTCTACAGGGCAATGTTCTAGATACAATTAAACCAGTCATTTACAGAAGGAAGCTCCGTTTTGTTATTTTTAATGCACTGCCTTCCTGGTAGCAAGAGGTACACCTGAAACCAGTTCAATATCTGACACATTAAAGTGTCCTTTTACCCAGCAAAATTACTAATGATTCAATAGTATATTAATATCTAACATATCATTAATAAACTTAATTAATTGCTAAAAGAAACATATATGTGACAAAATTGTTTTCCAAAGAAGCTGAAGTCTCTTCATACAAAAATAAAACAAAATCAAAAAACAACAGATACGGTTTCTCAAGGATCTACCTGCCTTCTTAAAAGAGTTATTTTTAAAGCTAATTCAAATACTTGTTTGCAAGTATTTTTCAAGTGCTGTGTTTCAATTGCTTAAGGTCCAATAGTAAACTATGTGTTACTGGAATTGTTTTAGAAAAATGTGAACAATTTAAACAATAGAACCACACACTTCCAGCATCTGCAACATAAACATTGCATAATGGCAAGAAAAACGGAGAAAAGCAAGTTAAACTAGTTCACCTGAAAAAAAAATTAAAATAAGCTAAATAACTGAATCCCATATGGGCACAGCAAGACAGCAAAGAAAGAGAGAGCAAGACTGAGAGGGCAATACTTAAATCAAGCAAAAATTTGACTTCTGCTTTTTAAACACCACGTACTGTATCTCTCTCTGTGTATGTGTTTGTTTTGATAACGACCATGTATCTCCAAATTGTTTGTACTGTATTGTGATTCTGAATATCAAGGAGAAAGCAATGCAAAAAAAATCAGTTTTCTTTAACATGCACTACTCCATGAAACACCTCAGTACTGTCAAAATAGCACAAAGGCACATTAAGAAGTATCACAAGTTGAGGCACTGAAAAAATACATTGATAAAGTGATTTATTACTGAACTCCATGACATTCTCAATCCCTTTAAACTTTCACTTACTTCACTATAACTAGACATGGATTAATAGCAATGTAGGTGTTTCAAATATAATCATGCACTCATCAGAAATTGACATTGTTCTAAATTAATAGAATGGTGGGTTTTCCCCTAGGCAACATAAGAGTTAGATATCACAAGCTATATTTGCCTTCTTTCCCTATGCATAGCAGCACTGAGCAAGTGTTCAGTTTTCCAACCATCATCACTTACTGTTGCCTCTACAGATGTCAATTTTTAACCTTCTGTAAGTTGCTCCTTACCTTCTCAAGTCAAATATTCAAGCCAGGATTTCTTTTTTTAAAAAAAGAAGGAAAGAAAAAGGAAATGAAGCTCAGAGCCAACTCGTTGCTAGGTGTAGATGAAGTTTTGCTGTTTTACAGGTGACGATGGGCAGGAAAGTCACCGCCTGCTGACTTTCACCGTACAAACGACCTACTGTACATTAACTTCTCCCCACTTACATATCTGTCACAGACCGGCTTATTAAGAAGCGAGGAGGAGAACAAAAAGGGGCGGGGGGAGAAGCCAAAACTTGCTGTTCCCTTTTCAGGTAGAGATGAAAGGGCTCCCTCTTCCTTATACGCCCCCACCCCGCTCACACGCTCTTTTCCCTGAGCACGAATAATAAACCCGAGGGAGGTTTCCCTTTTCTCGGCAGTTGCTCCTCAGGAGACTGGAGCGCGTTCCGTTTTCGAGAGAAAAGAGCAGTGCAATGAATGGCATTCCCTCAAGAACAGGGCATGGGGGGGGGGGACTGTGGAGGAAGGCAGCTCCCTGGGTGGCGTTCATAGGGTCACGACAAGAGGGGCAGCGGCGGCGGCGGCGGGGGGGGCCATTTTCTCCACAGCAGACGGGATTGACGGGGGGGGCAGACTAGGGAGCCGGCGGCAACGCGTAAAGCGCTCACTCACCTCTCCTTGCCCCCGCAGCCTCCCCTCCTCGGCGGCACGGCCCGCGCTCTCTTTCCTCGGGCTCGCTCAGGAGGTCATGCCTTCCCCACACACCTCCCAGAAGGGGAAAAGGCCGAGGACGAAGATGCCTCCGCTCTCCTCTCCCGGCCCCTTTCAAACCCTCCACGCCCTCCTTCTTCTCCTCCTCCTCCTGCAGCAGCAGCAGCAGGAAAGGTTTGGCTGAGGAGAAAGAAAAAAAAGGGAGCGGAGCTGCGGCTGGGAAGCCAAAACCAGCACCAGGAGAAGGAGGAGAAGGAAAAACCAGAGGGTTTGGCGTCCAATCTACCGCTGGTGCTGCAGGAGGCACTGGGGTGGGGGGCGGAGGGGGGGCAGAGCAGGAAACGCAAGCGAGAGACGGCGAGGGAGCCGCCGGAAGAGCCGCTGCCAGGCAGCCAGGCCGGCGGATTGCCCGGAGAAGAGCGCCTCCTCTCGCCGCCGCTGCAGGCGGGAGAGGCGGCGGAACACCTGAGGGTGGGGTTGGCGTGGGTCCTGTTGGGTGAGAGGGACCTCAGTGAGTTTTATAGCGCGAGCGATTAAAAAAAAAAAGATGAGAGATAAAGATTATGGATTCTTCTCCCCTTTCTGGCTGCTGGCCTGATAAAACTGAAACCACCATATAGCAATGGGAATTTCTCTTACCGCCAACGAAGACTAGTTTTGCTTTTTAAGATATTGGGGAACAGTGAGGCGGGGGGAGGGGGCCCCGCTATGTTGTGGGAAAGAAATCCTTGATCTTTTTTTGAAAAAAGATTCATCTTCCAAAAAACACCGCTCCTACCTCTCTCCGAAATCGTTACTGTGGTAATACTTTCGCCCGATCAATCAAAACGGCACAAAAATGAGCAGCCCTTGAAAAATAAACTCCCTGATTGAAAAGACAGAAAACAAAATTAAAAAAAAATAGATCAAGTCTACTTCCTCAGACGTTTAATCTCCTGTATGTCCACAGAAAAAGAACACTTAAGCTCACATTTTTTTTGCTTCTTTATATTTTTAATTTAGTTTTAAAAATTGTTTTATAAGCTTGCACAATCTAAACATGTGTACTTTTCTGAAAACTACAGTAACTACTGATAAATCCTTATCTTGAGCATGGTTAGATATCCATTCATATAAAAAGACATGTAACTGGTAATATGGTGCTTACTATTAAATATCAAGTAACAAAGATTAACGTGCTTGTTGCTCCCTATAGGTAGATAAACAATGTTATTGGCAAAAGCAGAAAATTAGTTCTGATATGCCTAAGAATATGTAAACATATACAGTATTAATGAGAAGTATAATACTGAAGAAAGATGATAGGAAGAGCTCAAAATAAATGAATTGACAGCATACTGAAAGACTGAACTAAATCACATACAGTATTAACATAGATATTACTAGCCCGTAGCTACATTGCACAAAATGATTGGTCATTTTGAAACCTTTGGCAACACATGTACTAAAATTTAGAATAATACAGAGACCTTTAGCATGGCTCCTGTACAGGAATGCTATGCAGATTCATGAAGCAGTGAGTGTTTTTTTTTTAAAATAGAAAGATTAACAACATTTGAAGTCATATGCCATTCTTCTGAAATGTACTACTCCAGAATGTCGCAGTTTTTCTTGAATTACCATTTATACAAGAACAAAGTTTTATCATATCCAGGACAGACTTTCAGTATTGCTGACATCTTTAACACAATAACAACATACCAGATTTTCCTGCTACAGTTATCTGCTGGAAGTTGCACAGTACTGGCAATAAATAGTTTCCTGATTCCAGCCAATATCCTCACCATATGTATTAACTTACATGTAGTCATTGGTATGGCTCAAGTAGTTAAAGATTATTATTTCATAGTACCTGTAAAGTACTGTACTCTAGCATCAGTGCTCAGGCAGGCTCAAAACTACTGATCACTAACTACCATGTTTCCCCGGAAATAAGACAGGGTTTTATATTAACTTTTGCTCCAAAAAAATGCATTAGGGTTTATTTTCAGGGGATGTTTTATTTTTTCATGTACAGCAATCTACATTTATTCAAATACTGTACAGTTACATCTTCTTCTTCTGGTTAATGCACAGTGGATCCTGGTGTGAAGAGCAGAGATCCAGAAGAAGTAGCCATGATAAAGTCTGATCTGTCCCATTTTACATTGTGCCCAGTGGACACACCATAGTCTAATTAGGTAATGCTGCAGGTATTGTTCACAAGGAAAAAATAAGTGGCTTCAAGTTGTAAGAAATAAATATTAAACATTTTAATATTACGTTTCTCATTTGAATGGTATGTGTAATGTGATATTTTGATGTAGCAGGAGATATGATCCAGCATATAGCTTGCCGGATAGTGGACAAAATTCTTAACTGTGATTTTCACACTGCTAACATAGTGCCAGATGTATAATGGAAACTGGACAGCCTTGGATGAGCAAGACACATACCATTATAGTTCCAGGCCTGTTGACTATATAGATACCTTTAGAATATTGACCACCACTATTCTACAACACTGAAACAAAGCTGATAACTTTTTGTTTGATGGAGAGTTTTATGCTGGTTAGCAAATGGAAAATAGTAATGTTTCAGAAGCTATATGACTCAGAGGTGTTCCTTTGTATCAGTCCACTTCTGGGAGTAAAGCACTTATTAAAATCACGTATAGATATAATGCTCAAACAGAGGTGATAGATAATTACCAAAGTTCTACCCATATTACCTTATGAACCTGTATATTGCTCAAGGTATTTTGCTTCAAATCTAATAATCATAGCTGTTCAAGCTTTGAATAGATTCATATAATTTCAGCAAATGATGAATACTAAGACTGCTGTCCTGAACACACTTTCCTGGAATAAGCCCAATAGATGCATCAGGTGGGCAACAGGCAACCTTCAGCTCTTGTTGGACTGCAATGTTCTGCTTTTCTCATTACAGTATTATTGTGCAGATGGAATATAGAAGCAATGTAGATAAATAAAGCTTATAGAATTAGACTAGCTGATGTTGTCTGGAATCATTGCAGCAATTAAAAGACTTACAGTATAAGTACCATGATACCCAGATGAAGTTTGATACGTTTGGAAATGGTTACAGTATCTGGTTTCATTCTGGAATTAACACTTTTTCTGATATAAATGCCAGCTGTGATGAATACGGGCTTCTGATTTTCCTCGCCCCTAAAGATCTATAAAGGTCTGTAAGGCTTTTAGGTAGCGATCTGAAGAGAAACCACAGTAAAAAACAGGGTCTTGGACATAGAAGGGCAAACGCTGTTTAGCGCGGCCCTGAAAGTCTGCTCTCCGCTGTATTTTCAGCTACCTCTCACCCTCGGATGCAGACCCAACTACCTTCATCTTCTAGAACAGCCACAAGACCGCTGGGCATTCACCCTCGCTAGATGTAACATATTACCATCAAGCCTAGCGCAGGGCAAGTATAGTGGCTTACCAACAGAATTGAGAGTGTGCCCATGTGGGCAGGGAAAGACTGAATCCCTGCAGCACATGCTATTTTATTGTACACTGTACAAGGATATCCGCCTGTCACATCAGATGGTCTTTCTCCCCCTTCTTTCCGGATGGGCAGACCTGAGGAAAATACAATACCTTCTAGGTGACCTTAGTAAGGAAGTCACTCTATCAACCGCTAGATACGTCCAGGCCATTATCCAGAGACGCCGCAACATGTTCCCCCAAAACGAGGGGCTCCAACTTTGATGTTCTGGTTCCTCCTCCCCCCAGTAATGAATTTTCCCCGGTATTTTATTGTTTTATCGTTTTATTTATGCAGCATGCCAATAAAGGTTTCTGTAACTGTAACTGTAACAGCTTTTAGGTAGATGTTCAGGCATCAGATTCTGTGACTTGACATTATGGAAATCTTATATCTTCCAGAGAGAAAAAGAACTGGGGATTTTTTTCTTAATGATGTTTTCTGGCATACATTTCCTGATTACAGGTTTTTTACAGAGCAGTGATTCCGTGGTGTTTGTTCAACTGTATATTGGGCAAAAGGCATTAGTACACTACACTCTACAAAGGTTTTGACAACTGTAGAAACAGTTGATGTGTTGCTGACTTCTTTCTTTATTAATGTCAGAGCATTACACAATTTAAAATTATGGAAATAGGTGAAATATAGGTACAATTAAAAACAAATTATAATTTTAAGATAATTAGGTGGTTTTTTAACATAATTGGTTTACTTCAATAGTGTTATCTCCAGGGCTTGAAAAATTGTAGAATATCTCATCATTCAGTCAAAAATTTCACCAGTCAGCATGACTGGACGATAGCCTTGCAATTCATGCTAAGAAATTTAAACTAGGTACTTGTTCACTTTTATTTCTACGTAACAATGCGTACAAACCGAAAATAAATTGTATTATGTACTCTCAGACTTGGGTTGCTTTATCACCTGCAAGCTTGTATTTTGAATGCCTTTCTTTTGAATGTCTCCAGCAAAAATAAAACTGAAAGCAAAAGCGCACAGCCTCTTAAGGAGCCACAGTTCCCTCCCACCTCAGGATGTGTCCTCGTTTCGGTTGAAATTGGGAGCAGGAAACCTCCATATTCTCCAGTATGGGACTACTCTACATTCTCCTGCAGAGCTATATCTCTATGTGCTGCTCAAACTCTCTTCTTGCAAGAAGAGGGAAGTTTTCCTGTTGCAATGGGAGGGGGAGGGGAGGACTGCAGGATTAGAGAGAGACAGGCTCGTGGAGCAGCATTTTTCACTCGTCACAGACGAGTGGATGAGTGCAGTTTTCAAGCCCTGGTTATCTCAGCCATTTGCTAGATCTTTTGTACATATGATGGGGCATAAATTGCGTATACCTAAGTGTTGCGTTGATTGAATTTCTCCAGTCACAGAAAATATGTCCTGTATCCAAGTAGCTCCATTTTATTTGATTATTCTTTGCATTTCCTACTTTGCTTCACAGTATATTAAGTGACTTCCAGATGGCCCAGTTAGAGTCTTGTCCTGGTGGGAGACACTCTTCAGCATTCATCAGTTCGGTAAATTGTCTTATTTTTGTTCTCTGTGGGTTTAGGCTAGCCTCTACCTCTTTAGAGCTTGAGATGTGTGCAGAAAACCTTTCATCAATTTTAGCCAGGTTGTTGTCCATGAAATGGATGGGTTTTGTGCTGTATCATCTTATTTAGTTAATTATTTGCTAGCCTCTCTCCACATACTTCTGGACGGGCAATGACAGCCAAATAATAGACGTTTTCAATGGGGGTAGGTTTCAGGCAGCCGGAAATAATCCTGCCCAATTCATTAAAAGCTACCTCCACTTGTTCAGCATGTGCTAATTTATACCATATGGCACTAGCATATTCTGTTGTGGAGTAGCACAGAAATCTATTGTTCTTATCGTTTGTGGGTGTGCAACCCTGTCTGACCCAGCCAGTTTCCTAACTATGTTAATTTTGGGACAACATTCTGTTTCATGTTTAAATGTTTTTTGTAGGTCAAGGTTTGA